ATTTTTTTGTATTTTTAGTAGAGATGGGGTTTCTCCATGTTGGTCAGGCTGGTCTTGAACTCCTGACCTCAGGTGATCCACCCACCTCGGCCTCCCAAAATGCTGGGATTACAGGCATGAGCCACTGCAGCTGGCCAACCCCACCACCTTCCTGACAGGAAATCCAAATACCGGAGACCCTGAGCACAAAAGCTTAGACTTCATCAATCATCAGACTAAAGTAAGGCCTGATCTAAGTGAGACCCCTTTAAAAACAGGGCACCATTTCTCTGTAGACGGCTCCTCCTGGGTAACTGAAGAGAAAAAACATAATGGCTACTCAGTGGTCGATGGAGAAACTCTCACCGAAGCTGAATCAGGGAGACTGCCCAGTAACTGGTCTAACGAAACATGTGAGTTGTTTGCACTAAATCAAGCCTTAAAATATCTGCAGAATCGAGAAGGGATATTTACACCAATTCCAAATATGCTTTTGGAGTGGCCCATACCTTTGGGAAGATTTGGACTGAACGAGGTCTTATTACTAGCAAGGGCCAAAACCTTGTCCACAAAGAGTTAATCAAGCAAGTATTAGAAAACCTTCAGCTACCAGAGGATACAGTCATTGTTTATTTCCCAGGACACCAAAAAGGTCCCTCTTTCGAGAGTCACTTCCCAAGAAGCACCCATTTTCCATTTAACCCCTTGTCTCCCTTCCCCATCCGCAACCCCCATCTTCTCCCAACCACATAAGGAAAAATTAAAGAAAATAGGGGCTAATGAAAACTCAGAAGTGAAATGGATACTGCCAGGTAGCAAAGAAATGTTGTCTAAGCCCCTAATGAGAGAAATCTTAGCACAACTTCACCAAGGAATTCATTGGGGTCCCCAAGCCATGTGTGACGCAGTCCTTGGAACGTACAGGTGTATAGGGATTTATACCCTTACCAGGCAAGTCACAGACAGTTGTATGGTATGCAGAAAAACCAATAAACAAACTTTAAAAAAACCACCCTTTGGGGGAAGGAATCCTGGGCTAAGGCCATTCCAAAGTGTCCAAAGAGACTATACTGAAATGCCCCAAATAGGCTGCCTCAAATATTTGTTAGTTATAATGGACCATCTCACTCACTGGGTGGAAGCCATTCACCTGCCAAGTGCAACTGACAATAATGTAGTTAAAGTACCAATAGTGTTGTAACTGAGCGAGTTATAGAGAAACGCCACACTTCAACATGAATTCAGGAGTCCTTTATTAGCTGGTGACCGAGAGACGGATAGTGCTCAAAATTCTCTCAGCCCTGAAAAAGGGGCTAGATTTTTTTTTATACTTTGGTTTAGAAAGGGGAGCGGGAATCAAGCTGAAGCAATCTCACAGAAGTAAAACAAGCAAAAAGACAAATGGTTACAGGAAAACAAACAGTTCCAGGTGCAGGGGCTTTAAATCCATCACAAGGTGATAGGTGCGAGGGCCTTGGATGCCATCTATCGGACACAAACGCCGGGGCTATAGGTACTATCAACTGGGCGAATTCCTGGGAACTGCGGATATAGTTTGCCACAATACCTTATCAGTTAATTGCACTCTTTGATGTGCTGGGAGTTACCTTGCACAAGTTAAATCCTTGAGGAAGCGGGTGGGTAAGGAGCCCTTGATGTCTTGCAAATGAAGGAGCCAAATGGAGTCTGGAGTCTGTCCGGCTTTCTCAGCTAAGGGACAGTCAATTCATATTAAAACAGGGTAAGGTATCACAAGAGACGACATCATACCCAGATTCAGATTAATAGAGAACACTGACTCAGACAATGGAACCCATTTTACTGCACAGGTCATTAAAGGATTAACCCAGACACTACAAAAAAAATGGGAATACCATACTCCCTGGCACCCACCCTCATTATGAAAAGTAGAAAGAATGAAACAAACTCTAAAAAAATCACCTAACTAAACTAATCTTCAAAACCCGACTGCCATGGACGAACTGCCTCCCTATCGCCGTACTAAGAATTCATACCACCCCTTGAAAAGATATCAGCCTGTCCCCTTATGAAATGCTCTACAGATTGCCATACTTAAATTCCACCACTGACATCCCCACATTGGAAACAAAAGATCAATTTCTTAAAAACTATATATGTTGTCTGTCTTCCACCCTGTCTTCCCTCAGGATCCAAGGCCTCTTAGCACAAACGCCACCTCTAGAGTTTCCAGTACACCCACATCAGCCTGGGGATTATGTGCTCATCAAAAGCTGGAGAAAGAAAAACTGGAACCATCATGGGAGGGACGCTATCTAATACTCCTAACACCTGAAACAGCAGTCCCAACAGCTGAACAGGGGTGGACTCATCACACTCGGGTAAAAAGGACCCCACCCCTTATGGAATCATGGACCACCACTCTAGGACCAACTCCCTCAAAATTAACATTCAAAAGGTCTAATTTGTCTCTTCTTCCTCCTAATTGCCCAGGGGCATTTCATTATTAATGTAACCAAATCAGCCTCCCCTCAAGCTGTTGAGTTTGATGCTTGCCTAGCCATACCTTGCGGAGACCTACCAAGTTAAAGGCAACTAGCCTCTTCGGAAAAGTATCTTTGCCTTTGGTACTCACCCCATCCTCAATCTGATCCTTGTAAGAGTCCCTATAATTGGCTACCCTACCATTCCTGGTACGAT